CATTAATCTCCGTGTCTTGACAATATCATACTAGTATAACTGTTGAATCTTGTTATTCGTGTCTTGACAATATCATACTAGTATAACTGTTGAATCTTGTTATTCGTGTCTTGACAATATCATACTAGTATAACTGTCGAATCTTGTTATTTCTCAACCATAATTTGTCATTGTTTGAAGAATGTCTCGAGATAAATCATTAAAGTACAGTTGTGTGTTTACAGGTGTAATTTCTAAAATGGACATGAAATTTAAAATATCAATATCTTGGTCGAGATGATTCATACAAAGTGTTGTACACGAGTCATCCAGAAAATTTTCATCGTGTGTATGTGTATGAAGATTAATCGTAGTGGACCTGCTGCCGTTTCTCTAAAACCGAATTCACGTGAGTAGTACTCACGAGGAAAACATCTAAAGCAAAAAGCGTTTTCCATCAACAAACTCTTACAAAAGGAATATGCTAGAACTCATAACACGAACCTCGCGTGAATAAATGTGAATGGTGTTAATATTGATCCTTGAAGTAACCGATTAGGTCATTCGGCTTTTCAAACATATCTTTTTAAACGTTTTATACATTAAATTGCCTGTAGGTTTTAGTGACAGGGTCTCTAATAACATATAACTCACATAGAACCTGTAACTAGAAAATTGTCAATAACAGAATTCATGACACTATGTTCGCTGTATATTTTACATTGAAAACGAGCGACATAGCCTAACTTATTGTGTCAAAATGAGTGCCGTGACAGCCAAGAACAAACATTGTGCAATGTGATGAAATATGTATGCCGTGCCGGTAGTGAACATGTAAAAAAAAAACAAATAATTTGAAGGTTAATATATAATATCCTCCCCGAACCTATTTCAATGTGAAGAAGACAGATAACAATAAGATCATGTCTACTCAAACCCAAATCACTCAAATATTTTTATAACCTTACGTTCTTATTAAACAGTTACCACCGTTTGAAACAGCAACAAAATACATTTAAGAAACGTTTAATACTCTAGAGTCTAGACCAGCGTTTCCCAAACTATGGGTCGCGACCCACTGGTGGGTCGCAAGCGGAATGTTAGTGGGTCATAAAAAGTTATACTAGAATTACGCATTAGCTTCGATTAAACGCTGTCTGTCGAGATAGTTCAAGACTCGGGCTTTCATTGCCAGGCTGTTGTTGTATCAAGCAGTATTGTTGATACTTATGTCAAAACAAAAGGTCTTTGATTGGAATAAATGTGTCGGAATATGTACGGACGGCGCACGGGCTG